ATCCCAAAATAAGTGAAACAGGGCAAAAGTGATACACGACAGGTCTAGTGGAACGTGAACAAGACACACTGCCTCCATCAACAGGGTGATAATTTATCGCTCTGACGATAGAATCAGTAAGCTCCTGCGAAACTTCGTCAATATTCACCGGACAACACGGCATAACATGACTAAAAACAGTCACCTTCAACTTTTCGCCTACACCGATGTTTATACAAGTTATTTAAAGGTGCTGTATCAATATGAGAGGTTATGTAGTGAGGAATGTAAGTTTACCATTCAGCATGTATTTGTGAGGATTAAGAACAGTAGCGATGTGGTTTTTGAGAGCACAGCCAGTATTCTGCCCGAGATTCGAAGCAGATATCTCCGGAGTACGACTCCGTATTCTCTGCACTGGGGCACAGGGTGACAATCTGGGCATCTCCGGCGAGAATGAAACGCATTAAGGCCGGTTAGGGACGTTTCGGAGCCACCTACGGAATGGCAGAACGCACTTTGACGAAAACACGATATAATATGATACGTGGTTTACACGTGTGACGCTCCTATATTTGTCGCTTCGTACGATATTTGTTGTGTCAGCACGTGCCTTTGTGTCGGGTCGAAGGGACACATGAATTGGGACTCGTGTGAACTTTGGAGGTAAACGATCATTTGCCTTTAACCTTCCGAAGCTGAAACTCAAATAACACTTAAAAATTCAGTCCGTACCGCAAAGAAAACACAACTCTTCGCTATTACAAAGATCAACTGGTTGACGCAGTTTAAGGAAATAAACTTAAAACCTACGAAATAATTTGTTTATTTTGAGAATCGTACGAAACCCATACATACACAATGTGGTAAAATGCTGAGTTAATTCTATGTTCAAGTAGGTGGCACGTATACTTACCACTGTGATTTAAATGTATTTCCACGAAGGTGGTAAATACGACTGATCTGAAGCTTTCATCTTATGAATACAAATCAGACACAAGTTCACAAAAATATGCCGAACGAAAAGGAGAATGCAGAAAATTACTCCGCCCACTTTGGGGGACAGGGGCACTAAATTATGGTGGCTGAGATGAGCGGACAATGTAACAGCGATGGGAGAAACAAAAATGCTTGTAAAATATTTTGTTGGAAAACCTCATGGTAAGAGACTGGCATAAGTGTGGGATGATAGGAATATTAAAATACGTCTTCCGAAAATATATTTTTTGATTGAAAATGGGGCCCAGTGGCCTGCTATCGTGGTGTCGGTTAAGTTCCCATAACGACATGTAATTTGTTTCTGATTGGTGAGGGTTTGTCCATTATTCAGTGATTATACTCGTACCTGTGTCTGAACTAAAACATTCGTGCACACTCAGATGGTAGAACAAGGAATTTCTTTTCCTAAGCCATGTCTTAAGGAATCTCCTGATTGCTCAGAGCTTTCGTTCCGTTGTTACGTGACTGTTAGTTGCAGTGCATGTACTAATTAATTACTACATGGAACACGCTTCATTAATATAGGAAAGTAATTTCTGTTGAATTCTTTTCATAATTAAGACAAGGTAAATTTTGCTATCGGGGAAATTAGATTTCAAAGTACAGTATGTTTGTATACAGGTGACTGTCTTCTGGAATTTTGCACCGTGTATTCGGGTAGAAGTTTACTGACGTTTCAGAAGTACTTGCTTCCTCCATCATCAGGGCCGATTCTTTTGAGTTGGAGGTACTAGACTAATAGAATCTCAAAATGTTGGGTTATGTAACGACTCTTTGTCAACTAAACAGGTTCAAAGTGCAGAATGGCAATATTCTTAGTTATAAATGACACAGAAGGAAAGGGTCTTGTGCGTGGTGTCTCCCCATCACAAATTATTGAAATATTAGAGAGATCTCATTAGCAGTGGTTCTTGAGACACGAATACTGGGGGTCAGGATTTCGATCCCAGTTGGGGGCTTGTTAGCCACTTAGTTTTGTGTTAGTATGCCTTCAGATGGGCCGACACCTCGTCCAAGGAGATTAAAATATCAAAAGAACTGTTTTAAAAATTAATTCTGAATTACACCTGGAAACGGAGACCAGGGAAGGTCTTCTGTGTTGTTGCACCGTGTAATCTGGTAGTTTGCTGACGATGGAGGCAGCATATACCCTTGAAACGTCGATAAACTACGAGATTACACTGCTCAATAACCCAGTAATTTTCATCTCACATGCCAGTGTCCTTACTTTGCCAGGCCCCCGTTGGTTGGTTTGTTTGCCAGTTGGTTTCACGTGAGTCACACACGACCAGCCTCGCTACGGTTCACCACGTTTCACCCCTTATTATGAATTTCCGGTAGCCTGTCCCTTCTTATCAAGCAGTGCCACCCTGTAATGGCGCTAGTCAGTTTCTGCGGGTATGATTGATTGATTGACTCACTCGCAGGTACCAGTTCCTCAGATCGCTCACTGCTGGTGGTCGGTTTACGTAGATGATAGACGGTGAGTCATTCTTATGCTCTTTGGTTCCTAAAAACCTTACCGAGTACCAAGACGCAACGTCGAAATAAATACTAGGATTGCTTAATGTTCGGCGTCCCCCTAACACCCCCTCACCCCGAACATGGTGTCTGGGCGCGGGATATTGCGTTTTAAGCCCGGGTGTTGGAACAGAAGTCATTTGAAAGTGAAGGCGATTCTTAAAAAATAGAGTTACATTTTTTTTTATTTTGGGACTGACACGTTGCGCCTTGTAGTCTGGTACATATTTCCCGACGTTTCAGAGGTGCTTGTTGCCTTGATGATGGAGGCAGAAGGCACATCTGAAAAGTCGATCATTCTTTACCAGGTTAACAACCCAGAAAACAACCTTATTTATACTTATCGCCTTGAGAACCTTATGTTTCATACTTTCAATCGTCGCTGGATGATGGGAGGTGCTGGCAGCGTCGTTAAATAAACAACAAATAAATAGAATCGGTATGTGGGTGGAAGTGGTAGTGGATTATTTAAAATACTTTTGTTCTGTCGGTACAGAATTTAGGAACAGGACAAAATGATCCTTGGATAAGAATAGTTGCGTCCGGTCTGGATTGAAACCTAAAACGTGCCGCACGATTATTATGGTTATTTAACGGCACCGTCTCGACTGCAGAGGTTATATAGCGTCGTATCAGATGGGGACACTGTCATGGAAGGTGTGCAGCCAAGAATTTTTGGTAAATATCTCAGCAATCGCCTGGAAAAACTGAGGAAAGTCGCTAAGAATCTTAGCGGAGCCTGGCCCAGACATCTAACAAACACAAGGCTGGAACATTTCCGCTAAGAACTGCTTCGCTGAGCTAATCTGTTCCTCAAATAGCACGTGAATAATCGAATATCAAACGTAATGCACTGCATCCCACTCGGTGTGCGATTTCCTCTACTGTAATCCCGCATTTCTGGTCCAGCAGACCAGTGGAATCGACTGCATTCACATCACGGCGTCGCGTTGACTCTATCAGTGGTCACCGGATTGACTGCACGCACTGAGTCATCTGACCGCAAGATGTGAGGAGACGAACTTGTTCTATCTGACAGCTGAGGTCGCGGATTTTAACAGGAACCGAAGACAATTAACTACCGTCTTTAAATTTCTGTTGCCAGTTTGGTTGTAATTCACGTAAAAAAAGCTGTAATTGTAATGGAGGTTGTTTTGCAACCGGACTCACGATTTTGAAAAGATTCTTCGAAAAACAAAGGAACTATAAAATGTGGATGTTCTCGTTTGTTCCAGAGATCTTAAGACAGATTAGCCACCATCCCGTAGCAAATGAGAACTGGTACATCGTCATCAGGTTGGGGTGAAGTAGATACTAAGTTACTAGGTATGTGGCTAAAATAATCGGCGAATATGATAATTTAATTATATATTATATGTTTTATTCCCTGTTCATTTTTTTTTTTATAATTTCCATTTTAACTTCTGCAACATTCGCCCGCAACGCTGCCGTTTAAACTTCATCTTAATTTTTCCAGTAGCTAATCGAAAAAAATGTGCGTCAGGTTAATGAATTAACGAAGTCGACAGTGAACACAGACCTTGAGAAATAACCCAAAAAGAAATTTCCCTTATTCTACGAACGCGAAGGCTTTACTGCCGTGTAGTCTGGCAGAAGTTTACCGACGTTTCAGAGGTGCTTACTGCCTCCATGGCGCAACAACCCAGATTCACCGCCGTGCAAACCTCAAATCCTACTTGTTTTTCCACCGTGTTCAGAAGAACTCGCCATTGGTCCATATCATAAGCCAGATAAAACCAGTCGACACCCTCACATTCCTTTTAAGTACATTTTAATATTATCATCCTGTCTACACCTAGGATTTCTAGGGGATCTGTTGCCTTCAGAATTAATGAAAAAATTATATTTGCATCTCTCTCCTGTGCGTGCTACATTAACCGTACATCTCACCCATAAAATTACGCTAATAATGTTTGACAAAGAATACAAATTATCATTATGCGTTTTTCTCCAGCCTTTTGTCATTTCCTTCCTTTTGAATCCAAATTTTCTTCTCAGCACCCTGTTCTTAAAGACCTTCATTCTACATACCCTTCCGTTCACAGACCAAGTTTCACACTCACACAAAACATGTAAAATTATTGTATATTTTTACGCAGATTCTGAGTTTAATAGTATGAAACATTGCCCGAATCTATTCTGAGCTTAATTTATTAATCAACGTAATGTTTAATATTTCAGTTAATAAAGCAGTTCATTTAAATTACGCTTTCAAGTTGGGGGGGACAACCCTATTGTCAAAATTTAAACAGCAAATTATAAATAAACTGTGTTCCTGTCTTCATGTGGCGTGAGGCTAAATTGTGAGAAGGTTTACAGGGAAATGTTAATTAATCATAAATATCGTCAATTATAATTGATTTCAATGTGCCAAATTATAAAGCTTTTGTAAGTAAACTAAAATTATGGACAGGACAAGGGGTTTATTTCAGAACAACTCTTCTCCTCTGAGACAGTGAGAAGTGCTGGGTTCTACTCACCAAGTTGGTCTGAACTTCGCGGAGTGCGACCCACGTGCCTGGGTGTGTATGTGTGGCGATCGGCAGATCAGATCCTCGGTCCTGACACACCTGCACTACGAAAGCACACTGCTTCAAGCTCCACTCTTGTACGGCCGTACACAACCTCCACCTTCCGCTCTGCGCATGCGTGAAAGATGGACTCTGCTTCGGTTCAGCGAACCAAGGTATTGTTGCACCCACGGATTATACCAACCTGTGGATCATTGACAAGCTGATAGTTACTCATCTAGTCTTATTTCCTTCCGGGACCCGAAGGTGTTTTTCTGAGCTAACACACTTTCACATCTTGTTGTTAATGTCTTCATATCTGTGTTTAGGTCTTCCATGTGGTTTGATCCTTTAGAGGTTCGCGTTATGCAACCATTTCTGACGTTCTCAATGTGTGCTACATGCACCTCCCAACTATTCCTATTTGATTTGATTGCCTTTATAATTTTTGCTGAAGGATTCTTTTTGAAGCCTGTATAAAATACGAAGAGATTGATCGAAAAATTGTGGTAATTAATAGAAAAGGAATGAGGTAATATCGTTAAATATTTATTTTATATTTCTCCGAGTTCCTGCAAATCCATTTCTTGTAGGATTTGAGATTCTGATGATTGTCTTTTGGGGTTCTAGTGCCATGTACTCTGGTACACGTTTACCAACGTTTCAACGAACCAATTTCTTGCAGGTAGACATTAAATTTCCCGAAGAACATACTTCCTCTGTCTTCAGGACCTGTCTTTAAACCTGAAGATGCAGGCGGTATGTCCAACTGAAACGTTGGTATCTGCCTACAAGTTTGCACGGTGGAACTGCCCGTAACACCAACATTCGCATTCAGTTTTCCAGACAGTTTTCAGTATACCGCTGAGTTAGACGTAGACCCTTTGAAATATTCTGCTGTAGATCTTAAAATTCTGATTCAGTCGCCTCGATGTGTTTTGGCTTGCTCTGTCATCCTGTTATAATCATACACGAAAATGTTCCGAAGGTCTAGAGGCAATTAAAGAACAACTGCCTTATGAAGCCATTATGGGACAGTTAAGACCCTTTAAAGTGTTCGTGTTAATTAGGGCAAAGAACAAGTGTGAGAAAATGGAATTACAGTTCTGCACACAAAAAATGACAAGCCACGGTGGTCTAGCGGTTAGAACGCTGGCCTTGTAATCCTGGGGTCTCGGGTTCGATTCCTGGCGGTGCCCGAATTTATAACTTGTGTTGGGCAAGGCCGTGGTCTAGGCAACACGGAGTTTTCCTCCGGGGGCTTCCCCGGTTTCTCCGTGGCATCCCAACAATTACTTCATTCACACACATGAAGACAGAACCTATATCAAAGTTTTGAAGTATTGAATTCATTATATTAGAAGAATGCAAATAAACATAACAAATTAGTAGAAATTACAGTTCCTTGGATTGACCCTTAATGTCTCTGAAGCAAACAAACATTTGTGTCGTCCGGTCCTGCGTTAGGAACGCTGTGGAAAGCGCGAAGATTGTAATCCGGGTTCGAACACAGAACCTGACAAGTGGTGTAATTACTGTGTACAGCTGTTAAGGTTGCAAAACACTGCGGTTATTTGGCACATGGCAAACGATAATTTACACACAACACATTCGTGTGAAAGCTGAAAGAATTAGCAAATTCGGAACAGAGACGGACGAATGAAATTGATGGCCGTGTAGAAACCTCGCTGCTTCAACTCTTGTCGCCTTCCGGCACGTCCCGCGGAACGTACTTCATTTCCGCTAATTAAAGTAATACATGATTCTACACAGATCATTAATAACGCGTTCCTCAAAGTTTACTTAACAATAGAAATCAATTGAATAAAAATTTACTTGGATATTATCCATCGTCTAGTAAATATAAAACGTAAAACGACGTTTCGGAGATGAGACTCTATCTGGTCCGGAGATAGGGATTAGCTCTATCTAGTGGGCCCAACTGTGTAGGAACCTGAAGACGGAGATAGAGTCCCATCTCCGAAACGTCGTTTTAAGTTTTATATTTTACTAGACGATGGATAATATCCAAGTAAATTTTTATTCAATTGACTCTTCACCATCGTCAAGAAGTTTTAGATTTAATAGAAATTAAGATACCAGTGTTGTTGCTGCAAAGTCACAATTTCTCCAATTTTGAATATTGTTATCTTAATATATTCAAGAATGTCCCGCCATCGGCTGAACTGGTTCTGTTTTACAACGGATTATTTTTCTTTTCTGTAGCCCACGTAGATTACAGCCTTCGCACTTTTTCCCACATAAATTTGTTGAACATGCGATAAAAGTTCATATTTCTTGTTCCGCCATTTTCTGGATTTAATGATCTACTGGTAAACTGTGGCCTGCATTCTTCACGTTCGATCTCACGAAGACTTTCATCGATAGTAAATTGAGCTAGAGTTATACACCATCATTATCAGCTTTGGGCATGATGGTCCATGCCAGTCTGCTGGCTGGCTCCACCCAAAGATCTTTATTTATCTGGTTAGTGTACGAGTACTTGGAATGGGAGACGTAGGCGGGGAATTCGTAGAACATGGGTTTTCTATGAAGAAATTAGAATAAACAATTACAGGAACATTATATTATACATTACGTAGTTGATAATCGTTTCTGATTCAGTGTTCTGAAGGACTTTGTAATTACTTAAGAAACATCCCTATCGTGTGTACAAGAAATATATAATAATGAGGTATTTGTCCGGTTGTAGACCGTATTAAGTAGGGATGCCGCCAATCGACATGGCATTTAGAATCGATATAAATTGGTTTTGAAATTTTATGATATTTTAATTACTGAAGTGCTTGAATAAATTCAGTTAAATATTTTGTATTGCCTTTACTGCCTTGCTTGCATATAAATTACAATAACAAGTTGTAATTTTAATTAAAACTGTTAAATTGTTTAAATAATAGACTGCAGTCCAGTCTTAAATGTATCATTTACTTTTTCTGATATATGTTATCGATATTTCCTGACAAAGTAGGATAGTATCGATATGAAACCATGCTCTGATTTCAATTATTCACCCTGAAATGTGCCTTCTAGGACCCGTTCCCACACTGCAAGACTATCTTAAATTCGTCGAACATCGCTTTGCCTGCAGCAAGATTTCTTCCGGGCTCACTATTGGCGATGGTGATGCAACATTTATAGTATGGAAATGTATGCAGTAAAGTAATTTCGCGTGGATTGAGAAATATTTATATAATTCTGAAATTATTCTAATGTTTTCTATGCTTCAAGACATTTTTCTCTCATCTGTGCGTGTTCAGTGCGTTGCCATGGATTTGATGCGTGATTTGAGGTATCTTTTGAATCCCGCATTTAGTTAACAGCACGTACTTGTTCAGATTATCATTATGATACGTGACACGTTCACTGCTGGAAGGCGTGATTCTCCGGAGTTTTGATCCGAAGGATCATCTGTTATACAAGTGCTAGCAAGTTTCCGGTCAAAGAATGACGACAAAATTTGAAATTGTAAACGCACACAGTCGTAAATATTATTCCATAAGGCCTAAAGTCCCTTAAAATCATTACCGTGGCAACTCATATATTATCCCACAATGCCCGAATTCCTTAAGAACACGTGATCACCATCCAGCTGTTCGTTATCATACAGATAGTTTTGGGCGTAATATAAATATAATTTTGATTTGCTACTGTTTTTACGTCGGAAGATAAGACCTGGTCTCTTCGTGATAAGCGCGGGTTACTTCAGTCTTTATAGTATTGGGTTGGACTAGATTCCTGGCTGGACGTCCGGGATTCGATTCCCTTCCGCGTCCAGACTGTGTGAGATGCCGGCCCATCCAGGTTCCAACCCGCTGGGTACCCGGAGTCCTTCTCTCAGCCGAGGTCAGAAACTTTTACGTCTTTACAGCAAGTTCCAGGGGACTGTCTTGTTCCACCTTGTCGTGGCCAGAAATGGAAGAAGTTTGTAGTTTACGAATATCAGAGACATTAATGACACTTTGAGTGTTATGACTTTGTCTTGTATTTTGAATGCGAGATGAACATGTGCTGGAAAATGTTGGCACGCATTCCACTGTGCCGTTATAACGGTCCGCTAGATTGTGCAATAAATTTTGTAAACGTAGTTTTCGCTTTCTTTACAGCTGGTCGGTGAAGGTTGTGTTGATAATGCGTCACGCTTCTCAGAACCGGGTCTGGGTCTCCTGATGGCGTGACAACAAAACTCATAATATCACTGCCAACTCTTCTCACATTGTTTCGTTCTGTTACAGCATCGTGGCTTATTTCCTTGTTGCTGTTACAATGATAAACTTTTGGTTTTCCCGGTAAAACATGGATTGAAAACGGAAACTTGGAAGTTCTCTGTTCCCGGAAACAATGGAAAAACAAAGTAACAGAGTATTCTGGTAGAAGTTTACCGACGTTTCGGAGGTGCTTACTGCCTCCAACATCATCTTCCTGATGATGGTGGCGCAACATCCCAGAAGACAGTCCTCTTCAAGAGGGCTTTAAACCAGTGGTATTCAAACTTTTTTGTTCGCGTACCCCCAGATATAATTTCTCTTCAACTTTGTGCCCCCAAAGTTGTTGGTGTATAATTCAAGTTATACATAGTATATAATCTACATCTAAAATAAATTAAATAAATTACATTACTGATTATTCAGTGTTTATCATAAAATAATATATTTTTTTTTAAATTTCACGTACTCCGTAAGATGTCTTCGCGTACCCCAGGTTGAATACCACTGCTTTAAACCACTGAAGCCGAAACGTGTCTCTTTTTTTCAATAATTCAGCCCGTACCGCGAAGAAAACACAACACTTCACCATTATAAAGACGAAGTGGTTAACGCTGTTTAAGAAAACAATAGTTTACTGTTAGAATCATATGAAACCAACAAATACAAAACGAGGAGTTGCTGACTGTTTATATAAGTGGTACATATACTTACCGTTGGGTTTTACATTTTTAAAGAAGGGACTAGTGTCCGGTGTGGTTGGACGTCATGTATAGCTGACACAAACGCGTATTTCGTGTGAATGATTCATCCATCAAATGGAGTCGTGGCTTGGTACTGCGAAACACAATGAAAGACTTGCCCATAAAATGCCAGCACGAGCTGGACACTTTACGTCGGCGGTGATGAGTGCAGTGGAGTTCTCTTACAAATATAATTGATGCATGAAAGAATGTGAATTGTAACGCTTCTCAGACGCAACGAAGACAAAGTTACTAAATAAATTTCCTATAAATTATTTCATCCAGCTTCATAAAAAAGGACATGAAGTTGAATCCACTATTTTTGGAACGTTTTACACTAAGAATGACTGAAATCACTTTTGATTATCATTATGAATTTTGTTGTAACGAGTCACTTGTTGACTATGCCCCTTATTATTTATTATTATTTAGTGTTCTGTGTGACGACAGGTCCATATGAACAGGATCCTTCCATCCTTTTCTCGGACTGGGACCTGTTCATACTGTTGACTATGCCCCTTACTTTTGGAAAATTTTAAATAAAACTGATAATATAATAGATCTGTAGGTCTGCATTAGTTATTTATAGATTTAAAAAGCGTGACACACAGAATTAGATTGTATAATTTAACTGGATTTGGAATGCAAAAGTAACTCGCTATTCGTTTTCATGAAATGTATAGTATTGTTGGTTTAAGTAGATATTCTTGTCATGCGTTTTCCACTTTACATTTAGCTAAAACAAAATCAAAACAAAGGACCTATACCCCATTGTTTCTTAATTTACCAACTTATAGCTTCTAATAGATAGGCAATTCTGTATTTATCTTGTATAATGTTTATGTTTTCGCGAATTTAATTAAGATCATTAGCTCTGACTAGAAACTGATGTGTCCTATTAAATTTCACTCCCACGTAAAGCCGAAAAGGGTGGTTCTCCAGTTTTAGAAATTGGTGAGGGGCTAACGTCGACAAATTCTTTGGGAAGACCGAAGCAACGTTAAATGTTCAAACGTCGCAAATGGACTGAGCTAGAAGACATGCGTCGTACGAGTAGTGCTGTAATTAATGTTTTTAACTTATTTTTAACTTGATTTTTTAGAAGGCGAATGTCAGCACCAGAGCTGGGGTTCAGTTCCGTTAGTGGACACTAGGAGTCCTCTTCTACATGCATCACCAAGGATTCCCCAAGGTCGATGCTGTGGGTGCAGCGTACACGAGGTGAATGACAACGTGACTAATCGGTTTGTCGTAACACCATGCAGAAGTACATGTTGTGTTTAGCTCCTTGTTTCTTTTTATTCGTATCAAATACGTTTTTAATTATCGCTGCTCTGTGCAAATTCCAGCTTTTTCAGATTCCTAATTTTCAGTTCAGTTTTTGTGCGAATGAATATGCGCACGGCACGAGGAAGCCGATATTACTAAAAGCTTTTTTTTTTCGACAGAGGAATCTACCCCTCCATCCTCTTATACACCCCTCCCCTCCCCCGGTAACGTGGTTTTCTTCTTTTTTTAACTTGTCTGTTCGTTTCCCCTCAGACGTCATCTTTGTGTTATCCGACATAGCGTAAAGTCTTTTCAGGAAGCTCAGATCGTGGAAGTATCGATCTCAACATTCTAATACGTGGGTACTTTTTTGTTTCCTCATTTCTAAAACTCTCCGGAATACAATCAGTAGAACCGTTTAAACCGAAGCTCATTTGAATAATATTTAAAAACTGAGTCCGTACCGCAAAGAAAACACAACACTCCACCACTACAAAGATCAATTCGTTAACGCCATCCAAGGAAATAATACCCCAAAATCATAAATGCGCTCTGCAAGCAAAATACGTAGTTACTGGTTATATCAGGTGGTAATTGTAATTACCATTAATAAAGTATAATTTTTTTTGTATTTCATTTGATTCTGTTTCTGCCTGTCTCTGTTGCCAGAACAACTCATCTCGTTTATCGATTTTAGGCACGTTTATAATTGCGGGGGAGCTATTAAAAATCACTCCATCCGTCTGTCCCTGTATGGATTTTCAAGTCGAAAACGGCCGAACGGATTTCCGTGAAATTTTACGTTGGGGAGCTTTATTAAAATCTGTTTATACATTTAAATTTCAGTTGAATCGGTGATAAAAATGGAAAGTTTTACACGAAGATCAGCATGCTTTTATGCGCTTTTAAATATCTGGGGAATCTCCGCATGAAGAATCCACAACCAGGGAATCCGCGAGTGGGGAATTCCGAGTCAACGAGCAATCGCGCTTACTACGCCTGTTGCTTCGCAACCCACATTACTCTCAAGCTAGTACGTTCAACTGAGTTTCAGGCGTGTAGAATATTGATGTGTGTACTGATTAAACAAGGCATATTTGTACTGGAATCTCAGCGGATCTGAAAATCTGTATCGGAGAGGTTTGTGTTCAATACGTGTAATTACTTCTGGACCAACAACATCGCATATTAATTGCATCTGTGATAACAACTCAGAAATCAGCAGATTTATCTTACATGTACACTACAATGTTAATAAGCAGTACACATTTTCAATGTCTACTGATTCTGCACACATTTTATCGATGGTCATTCTTAATGCTTTTGCACTCGTGACAGTTTATAAATCGTCTCCATCTTAAGGACTGGCCCTGAAGATAGAAGTAGTATGTGTCACCGAAGCGTTAGTACAAGTCCACATGGCGTCTTATTGTAATATCCGATATCTTAGTCTCTTACTTATTTTAGTTGATCATGTTTCTGTGATGTTATGGAAAACGGCAGGCTTTAACTCCACCACGAAAGTCAGATGAGCCAGTTTAATCCAAAATTCAGTACAGTGTTTTTCATAATATGTCGACTGGATCTCGATCCACGAATGTGGAAACACTCAAATATTCCTCCAGTGAAGTACTCTTAGCATGCAGGAATTCCCATAATTCCTCGCTTCTGTGTCGATACTCAGAAGAAGGCAGTGTGTTCTCCTGCTATGATAATATGCTGTGCCAATATTTGAGCGTCGCCACTGTAAAGGCAATGTTTGTTTTGTCCTTATCGTATTCATTGTTCTGAAAATAAGTAGACAGTTTCCGAACTGTTGGATACAAAACACCTTTAAGTACAGAAGCACGCTGAACGTAATTTGTTATTTTAATCAGTGGTCTTTTTTCTGAGTGAGGCTTGCTTCTAATGGAAATAGAAAAAGCATAATGTGCGATGTCTGATGGAAGAAAGGTTCGGTGCAGCTGCACTCATCTGTCCATCAATGCGAGTGCTTAGGACATGAGTGATATATGCGACTAATCTTACGTGACAAGCTCACGTCGTGAAGGAATAAACACTGACAAAGGAAACCCGAAGTCCGCGGAGAAACACCTACACCAGTTCCAGTTTGTTACCCGTAAATAATTCATTGATATACAAAAGTGTAATTTTAACAGTTGTGCTGTGTGGGTGTGAAACTTGGTCTCTTATTTTGAGGGAGGAACATAGATTGAGGGTTTTTGAGAACAGGAGGAGACCGCTGAGAAGACCTGAGAATACGTGGAAATATAACGTTAAGATGGACCTTAGGGAGACAGGAATCGATGGAAGGAACTGGATGCAGCTGGCTGAAGATCATACTAAGGTCATAACTATGTTTCAGAGATACTGTTAGACAAACTGGTATCTATAGTCACCATAGGATTGAAAGGGATAATTAACTTGGTAAATATTATGAGATGATAATGTTGCGTCATATTGTGATGATTATAATTGTTTAATTTTTACCGTCTAATCACAATAAAATATTTTATTAAATATTAAAATATTATTACTACAATTAACATTCAATATTTAAAATATATTAAAATGATGCTCCTTCTATCGAAATGTTCGATTTACAATTAGAGCATCATCTTTTTCACGACATGTTTCGGTTTTCAATGAACCATCTTCAGGTGTATAATCGATATAAATTCAAATGTAATATTCTAAATGCAATCCTTCGTCAGATGTCCATTAAATATCAGTTATCCATCTTCTAGATCAATTGTACTTTGTTATCACATTTAGCGTAGTTTGGTATTATTTTGGTTTTTAAGCATATTTTGTTGAGTCTGATGTTGGCATTGCATTTTAATAATTTACGTTTTATGTTTATATATTGGTAAATATTAGTTCATAATGGAAATTATATGTAAGAGACTAGTCGTGGCCTATTTTAATATCCTGTCACAAAAGACACCGCAATCTGCGGGCCGAATTTCGAATGCACGACTGTCCGAAGTACGAACTTATAGTGCTAACAACTCACGCTCCTTTACCCGTAGATTAGACAGACTGTCACGGCAAGAACAGAATAAAAATCCGTCTTAAGGAGGTTGTTTAAATACTTTTCTTTATGCAAGAGTAGCCTAAGAGGCTTTCAGACATTCATAAAATGGTCACACATCCATACAAATTCAGCCGTTGAAAGCATTGTTATGAAATTTGTATGATTCTGGAGGTCAGTTCCTTATCAACTCCGAAATCTTAATTTTGAACGCGATGTTGGAGGCTGCTAATGTTTCCTTTTGGAATTCCACGAGACAGGAAGACGAAAATTTCTGCAGTCTGTTTAAAATGTATTTTCCAATTATCACTTGAAAGCCACAGTTGGACAAATGTGCTGAATTTGAATTTTGTGTGTTGAGTTTGTAGCAGCATCCAGTAGCATAACATCCATACCAGATTTAATTAAAATCCGCCCAGGCATTCTCCTGCTAACAAATGTGGAATAGCGAATATCAGGCTTGGTTAAGTTAAGATGGATTAGGTTGGTGCTCGAGGATAGAGGACAAGGGTGATGGCGTCATAATCGTCCCGCGCCTTTGTGCAGCCCTTATTTTGTTAGTAGAAGGGGAATTGTACTAGATTTCATAAAAATCCGTCCAGCAGTTTCATCGCTGCTGAATGCTTGTTGGCGGATGTCAGTTGTGAATGAGTTTGGTTTGATTAGGCTAATTTAGGTTACTTTTCGTATTTTAAGCGCCCTACTTTTCACAGCATTCGTTATACTGTTGTTAAATGTTAAGTTTTTTTCTGGATTGCATGCGTAGGTTGATATTCTGCCCTCATTGGGTCTGTAAATTATGCATGTTACTGCACTTTTTGAATTGCATAATTTCTTTAACCTGAACTTTTTGAAATTCTCGGCAAAATTTTTATGCACAGTGCCTTTCTCTTTCTTTTTCTCCAAATAGTATATTACTGTAATTCCTTTGTTTTTGGTTGTCATTCCTGTATTGAGTCATGGTTGCGTTACGTGATGTGGGAGCTGTCTGTGATGTTTTCTTCCTGTGACGATAGGTTCTATTTTCTTAGGGGTGACAAGGTTATGCAATTGTTTTGGTCTCTGTGGTTTGTATGATCTTAGATTCCCGCCCCTTTTTAATCATCTTACCCAAAATCAGTATGGAAGTCGAGTGTTCCAGTATGTGTACAGGGTAGGTTTATTAGCCGTAAATGCCTTGCGACAAATTAACCGTTACTTGGTAATGTTTAAATACATAATTGTTTACGATTTTCCGAACTTGTTTATATGGATATCTTGTACTTGCTTGTTTTGAACAATATCTGTCGAATATTTATATGTGTTCTTCACATTCCAAGTAAGTAGATTAATATACGCAGCTACTATCAACACTCAGTTTTCCATGTTCCAGGTTTATTCACAGTTATAATACCATTAGTGCTTTATAACTTACGCAGTTCATAAAGTATTATTAATAAACCAAAGTGAAACACCTAAGTAACAGGATTGTTTATAACTTTCAGCATGTTGACAGGTGTTAAGTTAGTAACTTATTTCCTTTGTCAGAAGTTTGGAAGCATGTCTGGATAAAGTAGAATTGGAGCAGTTGAAATGGAGGAAGATTTCAGCTGAAGGTCTGGACCTCGGCTACACAATTTTATTACCTCCGTCTGTTGCAAGTCAGCTGCTGGAGCACCTGGAATCAAACCTGGATTATTTTAGTGGGGATCTGGCCAAGGTGTATGTTTATGGAAAGTGGCACCCCATTCCTCGTCAACAGGTATGAGTGTTTGACGTATAAAGTATTCTAAAATATAAAGAAAAATCCAAGACCTTTATTATCTCAATAATTTATCATGCTTTTTGTGCAGAAGGATAGAAACTATGCTTATGATATCACAATGCTGTTTTTGCATGTTTCACTCTTCAACTTTGAAACCAATTGACCAGTCAGTGGGCTGGTCACTTACTACTCACAAATGCACACTTCAAAGACCAAGAAACCTCCCACATAGGAGGAGGCCAAGGCTTGGTTTTGGGCTGTTGTACCATAGAGTCAGTTGACCAGCATTAATGAGATTTGGTGTGTTGTTATGCCATTGAAGGCCACTTAAAACCGAATACTTTTAACTTTTTACAATTGATATAACTACAGACAAAGTACTTGGTATATGAGTGATCATTATGGGTGGCTTGTAGTGGTTACTGTGGAAGTCTTGGTCACGCCATTCTGGATAGCAGTTCAAGTCATGCAGTCGAGTCCATTGTCAAATGCATTTTTATTTACTAGTAGTAACGCTGTCGGTTTTCTAGCTTTGAGGTGGGAGTGATGCTACCACCACTTAATTAATATGGAGCCCAGAAATCATGTGTGGTATTAGATTTTTGAAGAAATATGTAACTTGAGTCATGATGTTATTCAGGTTGCTTTTGGGGACTCTGGGATGAGCTACAAATTCTCAGGAAACACAGTACCAGCCATGATGTGGCCTCCCATTCTGCTTCGTGTGAGGGACTTGATTTCCGAAATAACAGGTTATTACTACAATTTTGTCCTTGTTAACAGGTTAGTTCTTCATATTAAGAAATTGTCATGGCATAATGGTCCAATAGTTTGTCAGATTGCCGTAATAAGTACATGCTAATATAAGTAATGTGTTACAGGTACAAAAATGGAACGGATTACATAGCAGAACATAGAGATGATGAGAAAGATCTTGATCCAGTGGTACCTATAGCATCACTGTCACTTGGACAAGCCAGGGACTTCGTATTTAAGCATCGAGATGCACGAAAGAGTGGTCCCGAGAAGAAAGACATTTCATCAGGTGTAAAAATTTCTTAAGTCAACTAACCCATTTATTTCTAATAGTTTATGGGCTTTTGCATTATACATCAGAATTGCAATATTAAAGAAACTAAGAGCAGATTAAATTTGGCAAATGCTTTGGCACTGTTCAGTTTAGAATCTATTGACTTCTAACTCCTATCCAGAATCATGAAGGGTAAAATATACAAACTATAATTTCATTATTTTGTGTCTGTTTCCAGTGAAGTTGCTACTTGAGCATGGGAGCTTACTGTTGATGAATCCACCCACAAACAAATTGTGGTTTCATTCATTGCCACGAAGAAAGAACTGTCACGGTGTTAGGCTGAATCTCACATTTCGGAAGGTGTTGAAAACGCCAGGGACATGAAACACTGCGTTACTAATCAAGTGTTGTGTGACCAGCTACATCTGTGATATTAAGAAAGTTTTGCAAAATGTGAAGTGTAGGCGTGTCAGGTTTTACAGAATGGTCAAATAGATAATATAAATTGTAGGAACTTTTAAAATGAGGTTGAATTGGAAGGATCTACATATGAAAGACCACAGATTGCTTGTTTATGAGGATATTTTGTTTTGTGATAAGATTTTGTTATTCTTTGTGGTAAGTAAAGCCATCCCACTATGCACCATGAGTGTAGTGTTACTTATTATGGTTTTTTAAAGAACTCGCCTTCAGGATTTGTTTTAAAACCTTATTTATTTTGATCATATTTGAATTAATTCCCCTTTTGCCACTGATGATGACCTCTTGAGGTCAAAATGCGTTTGGCACTAGTGTCATTTGTAGTGTTAACAGTTTGTTTGCTTATTTTTGTATTCTAATACATTACACGGTATGCAAAGTTTTAAGATCCATGTATTAAAATGTGTCCAAGTAATTTTCATATTCAGCATTCCACTGCTTACCTAACATTAAGATAACAAACTTATTATTGGTTAATTTCTAAAATGCCTTCAGGAAGCAGCACACTGCATATCATATGTTCATGTGAAATGTGAAAAACAATCTGCTTTAAGCCTTGTAGGCAGAAAATGATATCCTGTAAAATCACCATCCATCCTAAAACTATTCATTCTATTGCATAGGTCTATAGAGGGTTATATAGCATCTTTAGTCGCAAGTTAACTGCAGCCACCAAAATGTCTAGTTGATTGGTGATGTTGAAGATGAGATTGTTTTGATTTCTTAGACATTTAAGACTGCCATGATTTAAGGTTACTGGCAGAATGTTCTCTAGACAACATAAATGATGTAATGATCATTACAATAATACTGGATTATTCAAAGAGTAAATATATTGGTTAGGAAGTTATAATAGAGTAACAGATATATATATCATAATTTATATCTGTAATATCCATTTTAATGTTACCCTCCCATGTCCTTGGTCTCCCAAGTTTCCATTTTTAAAGAGAGTTCACCCAAAATGTTGTTTACCTTTATCAGAATAAATATCAAACCTTTTTGTGTAAATTATGATTGTGAAGGAGTAAATTGTTCTAGGAAATAGTAATTCGGCTGTGTTGCCGGTTTTAATGCGCAAAATATATTATGTGGTTCTAGTTCTAGACATGCCAAGATTGAAATCCCTACCGATGCATATAATAGGGAGTGGAAATAAGACCATTTTGTTTCTTCAGTGATTAAAAATCTATATATAGTGAATATACTGTAACATACTTCCAGGTATTTAATTTTACAGATTTCTTCTTCGCTACAGCATATAGTGAACATGCTAGTGAAGAACAGCAGGTTCATCTAGGGCTGACTCCTGTGATTATTCCAGTGTGGTTCATTGGAGTGTTAATGTCGCTGTGTGGCTGGCCATATAATCATAGAATTGAATAAGATTTATTTACATTCCATACAACATATAGCTCACACACTTGTTTCTTATATGGATATAAATCACAGTTATGACAGTAATTTACAGTCAACTTCATTATTACTACAAAAAATAGTTACATAATAAAGCATACCCAATATTGCTTGGATGTTTGCTGAAAAGTTTTGGTTTAGGTAAATTATTCTATGGAGTAAGAGTGGTGGTTTAAATTTTATATTGTGATTCAGACTTTTTATAGCAGCAGAAGATTAAGGAATATCTTAATTACAGTATAGTAATCTCCTTTTTGATATTTACCGAGTTTAGGGTTTGTCAGTTCCCTGTATGAGGCTCTTTTAATGCCTGCAATTAATCAAGTAATTTTCTTTAGATATCAAAATACATTTTGTCTGTACCGTTTCCTCATAAAATAATTACATAATGATATGATTTAAAGGAAGTAAGCAAAGTAAACTAATAACGCATGATGAATTTCTGTTTTCTAATTCCATAATTATTCCCAGCAAATTTTTTAATCCGAAGTGCTTTTTCAAAAAAGAAATAAAAATGTTGATTTCCGCTTGCCGTACTTGTTTTGTCAGTACCACAGATTATAAGCAGTCCATTACCTACCTTTCGTATTGTCTGTGCCTGTCAGAATCGCGATCGTACATTAGGTTTCATCGCTGGACGTATATCGTTTCAGTATAAATTAGATAAAGACCAGGTGCCAGTTTGTGATGTATATTATTATTGATTAAACCTGTGCAGCTGCAGAAGTGTTTATATCTTATTAATAGATAAGTCTACACGTATGGCAGTATGTGTGGATGTTGTGGCGAAAACTGATATTTGAAGATGTGGATAGGTTAAGGGTTGTGCTGCTGGCCTTTTTTAATTTTCAGTATTTCTTTTCGTATCACAGATATTGTTAATTGTTAACAACTGCATGTTCATACGATTGTGGTTTTTAGTGTAAACTTAAATATGTATTCTACAAAAAATCCAAGCCTTAGAATTAATGAGGCTGATTTAAAATGTAAGAATGGCTGTGGCTATTACGGGAATGCTGAGTGGGAAGGGTACTGTTCAAAGTGTCACCATGAACATATCCAACGTGAAAGAATAAAGAAAAGTGGTGGTCTTCGTGGACTTGATCATGGAGAACGGTGAGCTTTAGGATTAAAATACAGCTTCTGGACGTTAGAAAAAAACAAGCGGTGTAATAATAGATCGTTTAGTTGTGTTTGTTGCTGTATTTTGTTTTGTGTACTGTGGGCATGAATTTAGTGAGTGCCTCTCATTGGAATTGCCTTTGAGTACGCTTTTTAGTTGGACCTGACAGTCTTTCTGTACGTTCAGGAATAGATATACTTGACATTAAAGTGTTGTGCTTATTTTCAGTATCAATAAAAGAAAATTTAGTTGTATGTGTGTTGAACAGATATTGTGTTATTCTTGCAAGAATTATAAATTTATTGTATTGTAAAAGCCTTTTTCATATACTGTACTGAACTAGAGTTGCACATGCAAGAAATGGCTGCTGTAAGAAGGGTAGACAGTGAATTACTTGTGCCAGGTTACTTACTGCTCTGCATACCAATGTTACAGATTCATTATAACCTAAGGCCACAAAGTTCAAGGGTGAATTTTATAAAAATAAGTATAATATACTTATGAACTGTTGCTGTGTGTTGCCTTTGTAATATTTTTATTGTTCATTGCTGTATTTTTTTACAACATGAGTTAGTGTCATTTGTTTAGTTTACCACCAGGAGAAATTAACAAATTGAACTCCGGAAGTAGGATTTATTTTTCAGTATTATTCTTTGAACCGGAGCTATTGTGCTTATTCCATAATAGACTTTTTAATGACAGTAGCTAACAATGCTGTGATTCATTATGTTATAGTGATTTTGTTGGAGATAAGCATACAAGATCTCCTGTTGGGTTTTCTAAATTTGAAGAGAAAAAAAGACAGCAAGCTGAGAAGAAGACAAAATTGCCAAAACTGAGTGTATTTAGGAAGTCTTCAAGTTCCAAAGGTATATCAGTTAGTTTGTTTTTCATTTTATGTTTAATAATTTCTGAATGATCTGTGGCATAAGGAATCATATATTCCATAACAGAAGAGGGATTTTCTGCAAGGACCATACTATTTTGATGTCTTTTGCTGTCAAATTTTGTGATAATAATGATACAAATATAATAAATTGAAAAAAGAAAGTACTTGGCTATCTTTATGAGGTATTTGGTGAAAATGGTACCTACTGTACTGTGGTATCATGTTCATTATAATATACAAGTTTTGATAACAAGTCTGACTCACATTTTAGGAATACCTAAATTAAATTCTATATAAAACATGAATACAAACAAAACTGTTTACACTTTGAAGGACACTAATGCCAAATGCATTTCGACCTCAAGAGGTCATCATCAGTGGCAAAAACAAGTTAATTCATATAATATAAATAAAAAAAATTATATTTTTTAACAGAGCATAAAGGTAAGTTCTTTACAAAACCATATTTGTGTAAGACCTCGCTGGACGTTGATTGCACAGGAGTTGGTGTATTATGTTGAGCACTTAGCTATTATGTCTACTGATCTGATGGCCGTTGTTGGTCTACGGTGAGCCATGATTGCATTGTCTGTGCCTCACAATAAACTGTTTTAGTTTAATTTATATATTTTTTCCACGTGTTAAGAAATGTGACTTGTAAACATTATAATTTTTTAAAGAAGTTTAATTTCCAGATTCAAGCCGTGCTGAACAGTTTCAAGAACTTTCCAATGCAGCTCCTGAATTAGAAAAGTTGAAACAAGATTACCATGATTTATTTTCATTGGTCAGCCAGTCAGTTCAGCATGATGTCTGCAGATTCATCACTTCATTGAATACTAAAATCTTGAAAAACGCAGATCTGGTGTCAGTAGAAGAATTATCCGAAATTGTACAAAATTTCTATCAAGTCTTTGCAAAACGAATGGAAGCCAACGTTATTTATGCAGGTATTACTGATTCAAAACACACAGTATATCTCTTATTTTATTCATATTCACTCAGTTATATTGTTCATCGTTACAATATCTAACATGATGGAAAATGTACTCTTTGGAGTACACTGATATTTCAAAGGTGTTCCTAATATGACATATCAGGCAATGACATCAGTGGGACAACCAGGGGAATAACAAATGTGTCAGTGTTTGGTATCAAAATCAATAATGGTATCCAGTGTGTGTTACTCTGTAGTCATTCATTTTCCAGATGTTAGCCAAGAGAAGAAAGAAATGTTGCTAGATTATGTTGAGAAGTATGTCATGACGTGTTTGTATACAATACTTTTCTGTCCACCCTCAACGGCAGATGAAGAGAAAGATCTGTCTATTCAAAACAGGTAATTTGTTTATCTTTCCAAGCAACAACTATATTTTAATTCTTCAATTCTGTGGAGGCATATTCTTAATTATTAATTTCTCGTTCCTCTAGGATTCGACAATTGAATTGGGTGAATGCACAGCATTTGGATTGTAGGATTAATGAGACAAAGTCAGAAGTCTGTGATTTGGTATACACAGCTATTTCAGGTATGCACTTAATTTTTTAATCACACTAATGTGTGTGCATCCATCAATCCAATGGCACTACAGCCCAAGTTGGGCCTTGGCCTTTTCCCATGTGGGAGGTTTCCTAGTCTTTGAAGCGTGCATCCAGCTTTGGGTTGCATCTAATCTTCTGTCAACTGGATGTCAGGATGTCTGTCAATGTGATTAAAGCAGGTGGAGCTTAAGCTGACCACATGCCTTTGTCTAATGCAGAAACTACGAATTTGTGGAGCTTAGTGCTTGGACACAGGGTCAACTGTACATTTACTTTACCTCAACGTACATATTGTCTGATTGAAAGTAATACAGTAAAACTTCTCTAAGTTGGACACTTGGGGTTCCACGAAAATGTGTCTTAACTTACAACAAAAGGGGTGACCAAGTTCCAGGATAAAAGAGTGTCCAAGATATAGCATATTATGGACATATAAAATTATAGGATATTTGCCGATTCCAATTAAAAGTGTCCAGGATATAGGGGTGTCCAATTGGAGGGGTTTTACTGTACTTAGTTCTCTTCCAGATATGTTGGGTATGGACTCAGCGAAGGCACCGCAGGATAAACTGAATTGTGTTGTGCGATGCTGCAGAAACATTTTCTTGCTGCTACAGCAGTCTGTGGGCGGACCAGCATCTGCCGACGAGTTTCTACCAGCTCTCATCTTCATTGTATTGAAAGCTAACCCAGCTAGACTTAAAAGTAATATCAACTATGTCACTCGTTTCTGCAATGCCAGCCGTCTTATGTCGGGTGAGGGAGGATACTATTTCACTAACCTGGTGAGTGCAGGTGGACATTGGTACAGTCGTAAGTCTGCGTCTGAGCCTACATTTATGTGATATTCAAATATTTACAATTAACTATTTGTCGCTGCAGTATGACTTCAGGGCAGGGATTCTCAGTCTTTTAGGACCTGGGCCCCCATTCACTCTTTCTCATTACTTATTTTCCGGAGGTTATAAATCAGGACAACCTATTAAAAATATAACTGTGTTCTGGGATGTTGTGCTGCGTAGTGTGGTAAATGTTGACTGACGTGTCAGAGGTGCTTGCTGCCTCCGTCATCAGGACAGGTGGTAATGGATACTCATGTTATTCTGCAACTTTCCAGATTTTATTCACTTTATAACGCAAGAATACAGAAGTACGTTCTTGAAATAAAGTCTGTATATTGCATGTAACGTCACATCTCTTTCAGTTCTCATGTTTTGTCTCAAACTACTAATTAGATTAAAGAAATTTTCCTGTGTCTGTAATTAATGAATATTAAGGCCAATGAGGTATACATAATGAATAATGCACTTGTAAAATATACATACTTCATTGGAGTACTTCTTTGTGTTCTTGTTTCTCACAGGACATTTAAGTGCACAGACTCTTCTTCTTCTTCAATGGCTCTCTGGTCCGTGTTCGGTCCATGGCCTCCTCAATTCTCCTCTTCCATTCGGTCCTCTGTTAGGTCCGTCTGTCCGAGGCTTTGATCAAGGTTTCGAAACATCTTCCTTTTTACGGTGCAAGGTTGTTAGCCCTGCGACCAACCCGCAACCTGGAGGACCAGGGTACCTGCCTTAGTCTGACCTCTCCCCCGTGCACAGACACACATTATGCTATTTTGGTGTTTGCAGTGCTGTGCAGTTTCATTCATAGAGAACTTGACTGCAGAATCACTCAACATGGCAGTAGAAGAGTTTGAACAGTGCATGTCAGGCGAAGTGGCGCCTCCCAGCACTTGGGAATCCACCTTGATGATGTGTGAGGTATGTTGTGCATTGCAGCATTACTAACCAGAGAAAGGGCTACATGATGGAAGGTAGAACCAAATATTTAACCTATGCTTAAAAGTTATGTTCGGCGTGTCTGGACCCCTAGTCTGCGTGTTGCCTTATCGAGTGTTCCTCTCTGTAGTGTTAAAATACACCAGATATTCTTTGCATGGGGGAAATAAAATACTGTCTATTACAATATTGTTTTTCTGGGGTGTGATGCCTATGAGTCTATATGATGTCACAACCCAGAAGAACAACATTGTCAACCTCACTGCTAAAAGAACCTTAAATCTCATTGTTTCACAAAAGCCACTTTCTTGTTCACAGATGATAATGGTGCACTTAGGAAACTTTTAAATTTAAAGGAAATCATATTTGAGTTGTATTATGAAAGGAACTGAAAATGGAGCAAGGGGGCTGTTTGCATGTTGTTTTCTAGGAAAGTTAAAAACATAATGTCACCCTTTGTTTCATTTCTTGGTTTAGTCAATCAAAACGCTGGTAATAGAGTGGTGCAGATCTTTTGAACTTCTCTTAGACACAGAAGTGGTTTCACTGTTACTTTAATTTGCCTCATGAAGCAGCATCCTTGAGAATCTTTGTCATGCAGATGGCCAAGAAATTAACAGCTTTTGTGGCTAACCCAAAGGTTTAGTGAATTCAGTCCGTACCCTCACATCCTATTTTTTAAGCTCACTTATAATATTATCATGCCTGCTGGTCTAGGTCTCCAAAATGGTCAGTTCCCTTCAGGTTTTCTTATTAAATCTTCCCAATGTGCGCTGTATGTCCCAGTCATCTCATCCTCATATATTTTATCGCCATTTTAAACAAAGTATCTCAATTTAAGTCGCTTAGGTTTTGTCAAAGAATCCACCCAATTCCTAGATCCTGTGTAACATTTTGTGATAAAGGGTTGGTAGCATTCATTCCAACCCTGAAATTTGAAGTTACCCTTTTATGCGTATTCAGTATGTACGCAGCTGCCATCTTTATTCAGAGGGCATCTCCATCACAGTGTGAGGATGTACCATGTCATAATGACAAAAGGACGTACTTAATGTAACAGTCTCATAACAGAATAAACTATTTTGACACAAATGTAGCTCAAATCCCAGTTGCAACAAGTAGGTTTCGATTCCCCGCCCATATTCTCTGATTTAGAGCTATTGTGTTGATCTCCACACAACCCTTCTTTTACAGGGGATGCATCTCATGTATGAGCAGTTGGCCATGCTTGAGGACATGCATAATCGATACTCAAGCTTTGTAGATGGTGCTTCAGGACTGAAGGAAGAAATGCACAAGTTTAAAAGTGATATCACAAAAGAAGTTGCTTTGGTATTGGCGCGCACGCCTCTGACAATCCAGCCGAAGAAAGCGCCAACAGACATCGATTCAGAAAACCCATCCTGCGAGGCACTGCCTGCCCCAATTGTTCCACAGGTACAGCTGTACTCATTTTATACAAAAAAGAGGTAGAAAATTTTGTGGTTTAAATTACATTTCAAATCAGCCAAAGTAATGGGTAGCCTCAGTTCCTATGGAAACAGATGAACAGGAAGTGGAGTCCGTAGCTGCTGGAAATAATTTGTAGAGAAAATTTTTCTTGAAGGAATAAAAATATGGCTGAAAGAAATGTCTTATCTAGTTCATAAATCTCTAGTTCGGGATATAACTATCTCTTGCCGCAGGAACAAAGAAGGTGACAGGCAGTGAGAAAGTATAGAATAGTTATCAAAGATCTGGATTGCCACTAGGCATTTTTTGTGTCTTGTCTAGTCAGCTGTTGTGCCCATTTGGCCTTGCTCGTCATCACAGCATTATACCATGTGTTTATAAGGAAATGTTAATACATATATATGCAAACACCATATGAACGTTAACATCCTTTAAAACAACCTGTATGTATTCTGTATTTCAGGTTGTGGCACGTCAACTTGGTTTGGAGTTGGCCACTGTAAAGAAAATTGAATCCACAAAAGATTTACAACCTGACAGCAGAGCTTCTACTCCCCCACGCGACTGTTTTTCTATGTCTCCACCATTTGGTTTGAATCGCAGTCTTGATGAACTTATCACACCAGATGATATATTCGCTGCTCAGGAAAGTTTAAGTTTTGTTCAGGAACTCACGTCGGTCAATTACGACATCGACCTGTCCGACCTGAGTACAGAAAACAGTTATGCTGAAGATGTTCCAACAGCGGACGAGCTTAGGGGCGGTGTCGTACTTCCACTGGAAACGAGGCCTACAGAAGATCTTACGCAATCACTGCTGGATACCGCGGAGTCGCCGACAGGAGGTCTGCTTCCTTCGCCCATCAAGCCTGTTTGTACAGGAGAGTATCAGGGTTTTGCAGCGCAGGGTTGCCAAATTCCTAGCATACCCTGTGACACAGGGGACACACAGTCTTTGAAGTTTGATACCTGTGGGACTGTGGATCCAGGTTCTAGTCAGGTGAGTGTTGTAGGAGAGACCGTAGATTCTGTAGCTAGTGATGGGCGTAGCGGAAATAAAACGGAAGAAACGTTAGTCCAAATCTTAAGTGGAATTATGACAACTTTTGATACGTTGTTCTAAAGCGGCATTGGTTCATGTACTTCTTTACAGTTTCAGACATGAAATGCTGCACTTTACAGATGAATCAAGAACTGTGGGAAAAACAGGAAAGTACCTTTAATTGAGAGCAGAATGTCACTTATGATTTTGTAGCGTTAAGTAATGAAAGAACTGAAAAATATATAATGCAATACTGACACTCTTCTTTCTTACCATTACCTTTAACTTTTCATTCATTCTGGGGCCCACCCAGCCTCCTATCCAGTGGTGGCCAGGGTCCTCTCCAGGGGGTAAATCGCGGCCAGGGCGTGAAGCTTATAATGAAAATAATTTTTACATGTACCTTTTTAAATGGAAATGCCTACTTACTTCCCACCCACCCTGTACACGGCATATAACAGGACAGGTTTACTATACTGTGGTTTAAATTCAGTAATGTGTTAAATTCTTTCCATTTAAGTTTTTCTAAGTTCAGTGTTCAAATCGATTATCATCCAGAAAGAGTTTAAATTGTGATTTAATTGTATTAAGTCCGCATGTTTTTAAAACACTTGCAATTTGTTCTTCCCTCAGAATAAGAAATCATTTTCTATGCAAGCAAAGAGAAGTAGTATGGAATAGAAAACCTAATCTTAGGAGGGAGGGAGGAGCTATTTCTTAATTGGAAAATGGGAGACTTGATCATTTATTTTGTCGTCATAACCCGAGGAGTTGCGGTTTGTTTTGTCGCTTTCTTAAAAGGTTCTCGTGGCAAAGTGTTGATACTGGGGTGTTTCTGGGTTGTAAGGTGTGGACTTCTTTTGCTGCTGCTGGATGTGAAAAGTGTAATTGTAGTGAGATTTCAGGTTCTCATTGCACTGAGTATGTTCCAGCATGTCTGGTGCTACATCCCAGAAGACAACCATCTTCATAAAGAATTATGATCATAGAGATCATTGTTTCTCAGCCTTTTCCATGACGTTGCATATTAGAATATAGTTGTGTATATTATGGTACCTGCACCTTGTCGTGGTGGTGGGGCTTGAGTACCTCAGTGACCCCAAGAGCTACTGGTAGGGCCTCCCTAGCCAGATTGGTCGAGGGGGAGAGGTCAGACTAAGACAGGTACCCTGGTCCTCCAGGTTAGGGGTTGGTCGCAAGGCTATCAACCTTGCACCGTAAAAAGGAAGATGTTTTGAGACCTTGATCGAAGCCTCGGACAGACGGACCTAACAGAGGACCGAATGGAAGAGGAGAATTGAGAAGGCCATGGACCAAATATGGACCGGAGAGCCATAGAAGAAGAAGATGGTATTTTGTATTGTGTGTAAATTGTATTCACACTTGATTATGTTTTTTAGTTATGTATTTTTTATTTTGTAATATGCTTTACAGTTCAAAGTGAAATTGAAAATTAGGAAAAAGTAATAAATGACGAGAGTGGCGGTAAAATATAATATAAAAATTAAAGATGGCTAGCCTGCAAAAATGCCAAGTGTTTCTAATATAGAAATATGAAAAATATTGAGGCAGCTACGATTTAACGGACAGCAGCTTCGGTTGGTGAGATGACGTAAGGAAGCCGAACAGGATCGCACTTCTACCACCATGATTCATGAATTACTGTTGAATGTATAGAAACACATTTGAACTCTAAATATTGCATTATGTGAGAAATTGTGGTACGCATCACGTGTAGAATGAAGTTGCCTGTAGCATGATTATAGTAACATTTCTAATTAAGTCCTAGCTGCTGTAATTAAGTATATTTGCTGCAGTTGACTAGCATGATTTATTTCGGAGTGATCGCGGCTGACGTCAATTAAATGCATGGAGATCATAATGCAGTTGTCAATGGTTGCTTGGCATTGCATGACCCCAGTTGCTGCGCTTCAAGGCTGATAACTTTGACTAATGGAGGCTGGCAAGGGATTGTCACTTCCGAGGTGTAGCGTTGACATTGTGGTTCTGTTGCTACTTCCATTTTTTCGGAAAACTGTCTCGGCACCAGTCGTTTCTGCAATGTAAATAGTGTCATTATCATTATGATGAATCTTTCTTTAAATCCTAAGATAGTAATTTCTTGAGATTTTTGCCACTCTTTGAAATTATGTGGATTGGTTATCAACCTTTAACAGTGATGGGGTTGCGATGTTTAGCCTCTTGAAAGCTTTATTGAGTCGGTTATGTGGTTTGCATATTCTTTAGATACAGTTGCAATATACTTAAAAGAATAGAAACATTTTGTTACAATTTGAGATTTGAGGTTCTCATGGTGCTGGAATGTTGGTCACTTATGTTACAAAATTACATGTATTTACAACTTGCAAAGAACATGTACGACGTTGTATGTTACATTTATTCTCTTAACTTGATAGAATTAAAGGATTTCCTATAGTACTGGGCTGCCAGCCGGACTTTTGTGCGCACGGTGACGAATATTAACAGTTTTAAGAAAGATGGGGATTTCTTAATGAGCTGAATATCAATACCAACCAAATGCTGTATTTACGTAGGATTACGATTCAATTTATGTTTACGCCTTGCCAGTTCATTAAAATTATAATTCCCCATCGTGGTCATATGGGCTTTGTTTCTCCTTTACATTTAGCGCCATGTTACATTGGTTGTTTTTCGTTTACCGATTGGCAATCGTTGATCGGTCGTTGCTCGAACACGCACCAATTTAATCGATTTTTAGATAGTAGTTAAAGTCGATAAACATTTACGTCATTTTGGCCAGCTTTGGGTGAAAGGTCTGTGTTGTAGAGGTACACATGTTTTGTAGTTGGGTTTGAATTAATGCAGGGACTACGTCGTTTGACTGGTTTTAAAATGAAGGTTGAATTATTGTAGTGCCGATGTGATATTTAGTGATTTTAGTGAGACGTGACGCAGTAAAGCATGCACAAAACGAAGAAAGACACGGATAAAAGCCAGAAGATTATTGCTGCTAACGGTGAGTTCACTTAAACCCATTAGTTTATTGGTACATTACCACAACTCCCCACCGTGTTTCATTAACATTGTTGTCTCTAATTTAATAGAGGTGAGTGGTACAACTTCCGATATTTTTTAACTTTTGCCTTGACGAAATGTTGTACACCATCTACGACCTTCCATTATGAGATACTTTGTTTTAGGTTAGGTTTACGTTGAAGTGTAATTAATAACCATAACACTCGAATTTATTTAGAGTTTAGGGTATTAGATTTTGTATTCATTCTAATTACAGTTTTTGAAACATCTTGCTACTGTTTTGACATCTGTATCAGTTGGATACAACAACTAAGTTTCGTGATAACATTTATAAATTATCCTTTGTTCGTCTTGATACACCTGAGGTAGTGATACTATGTCAGAAGCTCAAATGTTACAGGATATATAGTTCTTGTTTCGTACATGTTGACTTATTAGTCCCTTCCCCCTCCGAGAATCAGTTCGAAATGTAGGAAATCCTTTACATAACATATCGCGTGGTTCTAACAAAAATCATCTTCCTGGAAGCACATCGGCAAAGCGACCTTCAATTTATTTTTCGTGTCATTGACTTTTAGGTGTTTTCCGTAACGTACAATCAGATGTAAACTACTCACGGTCAAAGTATTCCTTTTAAAGAACGTCAGAGACGTAATAAAGGGGGATCTCTGCTTCCCACAAAACATTTATTTGAGAGGTGTTTCCACAGGTCAGCATTAAATAGTATAGGATACTTTTGGTACGTACCAAATCAGAAGACATTTTTTCGGGAACTCACTTCAGCCATTAAGAGGCAGTATGTTGATATCTACCTTCGAGTCTACGCGAGGTCACATTACCATAGTGAGAACCTCAAATCAGAAGATACCAGATAGGATTAATTATAGGCCTGCGTATGAACGTTATCGTTTATTGTAAAAGGAGGCTGAAAATATATTTTCTTTGATGTTTTTCATCTATGAGGTAAATCTAGTGCTATGGGATTATCACAAACCTGAAAATTAATTTCCTCGCGGTACCTTCTCTTTGTGGAACCCAGTTGGACGATGACGGTGCTAGAGTACTGGACAGGAACTGAGCGAGGTACTAGCCAGCAGGAAACTTGATACCTGCACATTACGATCATTGTTAATGTGCCTTACGAGAGAACGGAGTCGTTCACACTGAATTCTGTGACGTCTAAAATTAGGCTGCATGTTAATTCACAGAACTGCATGATCTAGAAATATATATTTATTATTTATTTTCAAAACAAAAGTGGAGTAAATTTCAAAGGGCAAATTTGCGAACGAATATACTAGGAGGACAGAACTTTATGAGTTCGTGATGAATTTTTAAGAATAGTTATCACAAGAGCCCATCACCGGTCCCTGTCCTGAGTCAGATGAATCCAATCAATACCCAACCAATTTAGGTTCATCTTAATATTTTCCGACTAAAATGTACGAGATTGTAAAATTTTCCACAAATTTTGTTCTAAAGCTTCGATAAAGACTAACATGCTGACGTATTAAGACTGAGTCGTGTATTTAGCACCAAGTTTTATATCGTGCGTTCATGATATGAAGCCGCTACTGTCCTTCGGTGATTCGTGTCAGAACAGTGTAACTTGCTGGAAGTTGTTTATTTACTATTTTTTGCGAGCCTTATATGCATTAAAACGGAGTTTCGTAGACAAATGGGGGAGGAATTAACTTTTAACATCCTTACTTGCATCTGCAGTGTGGAGGGCAGAGAGATTTTGGTGATGGCGTCTCAGGGGACATGTTGATCACTTCCTCTGACACTGCCCTCGCAGACAGCCTGCGGAAGTGATAACAGATTTATAGTCTATTGTGGTAGGCAGGTTCCATTGATCGTGCGTACTGGTGATGCTCAGAATTCTGCCCATTTACAGATCACCAGTACTGCTACTACCATTAATAATAATGTAATTAAAGTAATTATAATATTGAAAGGTTTCAGAATTTAGAGGTTCAAGGGCATGGACGTACACGAAATTACACAGTGAAAATAAAAACGCAAAAGTTGCTTTGCAATAAAAAAAACAACAAAAATATTCATATTCGGTCGAAATAACGAACGAAAGCATTTTCAAGGGAAAGAAACGTCTAGAAAGCTTCAAATTGTATTTTATGCGGTGAAACATATAAATGGTACAGTTTGTGGTGAAAGTAAACTACTGCTGCATTGGAAACGTAAAATATTAAACTACAGTTCTCAGTTGGCTGTGTATAGTGTATCAAGTGAACACACAGTAAAAATTGAATTATCTATGAAACCGGACTGCTTAAAACGTGCCGAGTTTCCGAAACCCGAAGAACAATCAGTACAAGAAGACGACGACTGTCTTCTGGGTTGTTGCGCCATGTACTCTGTTAAGGCATCAAGTATCTCCGAAACGTCGGTAAACTTCTACCAGGCCACACGGAGCAATAACCCAGAAGACAGTCGACTTCATTCTTGCCGCTGTGATAACCTCAGATTTCAGCAATAATAATAATAATAATAATAAGTCATTAATAATAATAATAATAAAGACGAATTTTGTGTTTCCTGAACTTGTCTTTTGTGATTTCGATACTTCTTCCGACCAATCGTACTGTTACTCACCCGGGAGATGGAGTAGTTCGTCCACTTGATACACTAGACGGCGTTCGACTTCTTGGGATGGAATTGGTGGATGTCCTCGATCGACTTCGCCGGCGATCTCTGACTAAGTAACAGAAAGTCACACGCCTGAGTGTTCAGTTACATTGGGCACGGCTTTATATCAAGGGTTTACATCTGATAGGTAAAATGCCTACTTATAGAATTACTCTGTTGGTAGGCCTGTATGTGTGGAGGGAAATCAATATTGTTAAGTTGTAACAAAGCTGTCCATGAGTCAAAATCGACGTTTTGGAAAATGAACAACAAATTAGTATACACATTATGATGATGATAATAGCCTATGAATTTAGTAAATAAAAATTGCTAGGGAGTTCAAAATAGGTGTTGGGATCTCGTAAAGGAGAATAAAAATAAATAAAAATTGAGTAGATGGAACATTTGCGAGCCTGTTTACAGAAACTGGGTAAAGTTGTAGTAACACTAATAATAAAATAAACTATGGGACTTGCTGCCGTGAGTAGAGGTTTAAAATTCACAATTTGTAATTTTATTAAAATCAAGAGAAACAACTGTTTCTCTGCACGTGTGATAGTTACCGGCCTTGCACAGATGGCAACACCACGCTGACTACAAATAATGTTCAAAATTCTGTCTGTAGTCATTTTCTACTCGAAATTTTTCAACTTTTCTTGGGTTTACAAATGAAATCAGCCTGTATTTTACTTTTTATTCGCACGTATTAACCGCAGGATCTAACTGTGTATCGTTGTATGGCGCAATGATAAGATAACATTTTTAAACATGGACAGACGTAAAGTATTAACTGAGATATTCAATTTGTTACTCTTACCAGTGTTAACGCCAACAGAATTTTAGAAGCTGGAGCGCTCAAACCAAGTAACACCCTGTTTCACGCAACAGCTGTTGATTCAGATTAAATAATAATGACACACACTTAAAATCAATTATTGTCTGTTACTGATATCTGTAATCCAATGTGACAGAACGCGGTCAACACATCGGCAATCCGACCCAAACTCATTTCTCACTCAACAAACAGCCTAGAGCGCAGAGTGATATCAGTAAGTCGTAAGGCCATATTTATCCCGAAGTTCAGGCGTTATCTGTCATTTGTTCAGTGATCCAGCTGCCGATTGCAAAGAAAGTTTTTACGATGATTCAGCAGATGTTTGAAAATTTGTGCTTGGCGTAATAGGAAAGTATGAGAATTACGAGGATCACACTCTGTAATATTGTTTCCTTCAATAAGCTCTTGACTTTAAAACCTTACCACAAAATGTAAGTTTTCTAGGTTGAAAATTATTTCAGATACAAGCTGTTACAGGAGAGAGATAAAAAATTGTAACTCCATAGTAATTTGTGCACAAGAGAGAAACAATTGTAACTCCATAGTAATTTGTGCACATTTCAATAAACTTAATTGAGTATTCTTTGATAATATGTAATTTTGAATAATTATTGTTAAAGATAAAGAAAACTGCTTCTAGTTTTAAAAAAAATAGGCCCATAGGTAAAATATTCTTGGACCGAGGGAACAAAATTTGGACTACCCTGCTTTAATATGATGTTATGTGAAATAAATAATTTATTTGTGCAATTTGAAAGTTTGCCATTTTCGAAAAGAAACTTCTGTCGAGATATCGAGGGACACAGGAAATGATTATTTCTGATCGTAAGAGTATAAAACGTCAGAATCGATTGTCACTTGTTAGTTTGGCATATGACTGCAATTGGAATACAATATACGCTATAAACTGTGTGTGTGTGTACAGGAAATTAGTGGGATGGAACCACGGCATTTGCATTTTAAAATTCGTCACTTACGTCATCTATTCAAATAAAAATGAACACTGACCAATGAATAGTTCACAGATAGTTACGTCATCTATTCAAATAAAAACGTACACTGACCAATGAATAGTTCACAGATATAAAGACAGAAGCCGAGGGTAGTGTGTGAATCGCTTATGGCTTGTAATCCGGTATCCTGTGACCAACCCACGTTACATAAAACACTCGAGAAGGTAAGAAAAAAGAAGATTTGTTTTCATACAATATGAGACCGATGTTGTAATGATGTCAGATCTATTTTCAGCTCACAAAGAGGTATTAGAAATCAATAAGGTCGGCTTTATCTTACACCTGGTAGCCACAGCGGAAACGCGTGACTGCAGTAGACCTTATGTTCCCTCCAAGTAGACCTGTGTTTTGTGGTTTATCAAAAACTGTAATAGACCTAAGTACTGTTTGAAACATTTTTAGATTATGTGTTCCTGTAAGCTCACGTAACTTATTACACGAGATAGGACCTAAAATATAAATCTTACTTGTTATTTTGAGCGAATGTAAAACTTTGTCTGTTGTCTTATTGAAGTAAGCAAGTACTACAATGCCTACACAAGTGTTTGTAGAGGAGTTGTATCTACTAATGAACACTAACACTCTAACCCACTTGAGGCAATTGACAATACTTCAGACTCTGCCTGTCGTCATAAGTGAAACGAAATTATGACCACTGGAGGAGCGTGTCAGTGGCCAGCTTTTGCAGCAATCAACATCCACTTCTTGGTACCGTCCTCAGAGGCTTATGTGATTGACGACTTTCACTCGCTAACTTACGTTTTCATGAAAACATCTCGCGTTACGCATGCTAATTTAATTAAATAAATTCCTATTCGTGTATAATTCCGGTCCTGCCCGTAAACTTTGCGATGCTGGTACTTTTGTACTGTTATTTGTTGCTTATGTTACTGAAAGCATTATTAATTTTTGTTGTTTTATTTCAGAATGAGATTTTAAAGTGCATGGATTATTTTCTGTTATGTTTCCCATTGTACTTTATTTGCATTTGTACGGCATATTTAACGCAGTGTTCTGTTTAATTACGTAGATTTGATATTATTTATGTGTAGAGTGTGCTCTAGATCAGTGGTGATTAACCTGGGGTACGCGTACCCCCGGGGGTACGCGAAGACATCTTAGGGGGTACGTGAAATTTAAAAAATATATGTATTATTTTATGATAAACACTGAATAATAATTAATGTAATTTATTTAATTCATTTTAGATGTAGATTATATACTATGTATAACTTGAATTATACACCAACAACTTTGGGGGTACAAAGTTTAAGAGAAATTATATCTGGGGGTACGCGAACAAAAAAGTTGATAGATATCTGTAATAGGTGCTTCTAAATAAGCGAGAAATTATTTTTCTTATAACGTTTTCACGTTATGAATTTCCCACCCATGCGATGTTCCCAGAGATGACAGTATAAATTAATTCTATGCATGAATTTTAAGTCCGTCTTTAGTTCTGCTACGAAGGAAAACAAATTTTATCTATTTGAGAGAGAGTGTGTGTGTGCAGGAATTGAAAAAAATATGCCAAATCCTACTCAGCCATATTAACAGTACTGGAAAGGCGTAGTTATTGGAGTACACAGACATTGCAAATATGTCCTTCACGTCACATGACTTAGGTCGTTGTTGCACGTTGATGGGTGATCGGGCCCCGTCTACTTGTTGTAGTACGTGTGATATTTTATGTAAATATCATCGAACTTTCTTCATTCCTCGATTGAAAGCGGTGTCGTTGGCACCCACTGAGACTAGTAAACGCGCTACCACTACGTCGTAAGTAAATGTATGCACACACGCGAATTCGTTCTTTACAAGCCTTGGTCTGGTATTATTTCGTCTTGTTGCATCGTCTGTAGTTAATCTCAACTAAGTCTAGAACCTTCCTTGAGAAGATGTACTCAGGTAGTCATCAAATTCTTGGTTTTTTTATGGAACCAATGTGTTCATCACCGTGTTTGCAATAGCCCGTCTTCGGTCCCACTGTATTTCCCTAACATCAATTTGATATCATCCTCCTTTCTACGCCGAGATCTTCCGAGTGGTGTCGCCGTTCAGGTATTTCTCATGGGCCGTTCGCTCGTACGCCCCTCACCTGTTTTATGTTCACGATTTAATCACCATAAAAATACTCAGTGGATGACACGAATTATGTTGCTCGATAATAAGGGCTCGTTGAGAGCGTGTGTGTTTGTGTAAAATGTGAATTGACAGATTTTGTTTAAATAATTTTGAAGTTTGATATTTAGAGTTCGTACTGAATTGACAATTTTTTTTTAAATATTTTTGAAGTTTGATATTTAGAGTTCGTATAAATTTAGCGTTTACACTGAAAATTTATTCAGATTGTATGACATCAACAACTAATGTTATGTGGCCATTTTCGTAAATACTTTCGTTGAAGTGATTTACAGTGTCGCAAGAAACTCCGAGCTTGAGTTACGTTACAGTACGAGAGGAACGGATGATGGAAAGGGGGGGTTAGCAAGACAGCAAAGATCATCGACCCGGACCCACTATTTTCACAGCCAAATCGTAATAATTTGACGTCACAAAGTATAAGGAAGGACTGGGTTTTCTGCCCGTATATGCAGTCGTTTCGCGGTCTTTTCCGCTTGTCTTGTGTCGGTCAATGAAACGAGTTCTTTTGTGTCCACTTTATATGTGTTTACGATGAAAATTATTGCCACAAATATGATAAGCCCTTTTTCCATGCAGCATAATGACACTGAGATGTGTCCCTAGCGTCTCTGTTTGTGACGGGCCACTTACTGGTATAGTAGATGCTGTTCCAGGCATTGTTGGCGTCGCGATGGCATCCCGACGTGCAGGGAGCGTGGTCAGCACGCTTGCTGGTATCCTCCGCGACCTTACGTTCCCAGAAACTCCGTGCGTTCACAATCGCCATCACTTCTCGCATGAAAAGTCTTCAGCTGCGTATCATTGACACTTGGAAGATACCCCTCCCTCCTGCGTCTGTCCATCTCCGAACGTCCAACCGCTTTCTGTCTTGTAATGTGTGCACATTACGTCATAACGTGTGTATCGGCTTAAAGCTTTATAAACACGCCTCGTTTTGGTTTTAATGCTGTAATTTACAAAATTAATCGGACTTTGTGGTATACTTTCACGGCTATTACCCGTCCGTCGAAGCGAAGGTTGCTGTTTTAATGATGTTCCTTCAATCAGTGAAATAATTTACTCTCAAGATCGGCAGAAGTAATGCAGGCTTACGGACGAGACAGAGATTTATTTAGAAGTATCTTAACGAATTTTGTAATTGTATTTCCGAATTGTTTTCCACTCCTGTTTCGGATTTTGGATGTGAAGGGTTCAGATTTAGGCCCGCAGACCGGCTGTCATGACCGAGATTTTTCGTGGCTTTCCTCAGTTCCGCCAGGAAGATTCCGTGATAGTATCTTAAGTTAGGTCACAACCTCTTACTCCCATGTGTCCCTTTTAATTTATTATGCACCAATCATTCTGTCATTGGACTCTGTTTAATCGTAGCGACTGTTAGCGTCCTTAAATTAACTATAAAATATCTAGTGTAAAAATGGATTCCTTCTGGTATCTTACTCCGCGTACTGTGGTTGGTGTTGACTGACGTTTCAGAGGAGCTTACTGCTGCCATCATCAGTTGGTCAACATCGCAGAAGGCGTCTTCATACTCGTCGCCGGTAAAACAGCAGATCTCGCGTTTATGGAATGAAGTGTTGAGGGGAATAGCTGAACCTATCTGATCCACATGGTTACATCATTTCAGAAATGGCTGAATGGCACTAGTGTTGATCCCATCTCATAATTTCGCTCAGCTGGTCAGGAAATTCTCTACTTCTTGTTCGGTACCGAACTTTAATTACCGCGTTCACAAGAGCCCGCCACCAGTCGCTGTCCTCAGCCAGATGAATCCAGTCCACACCCTTCAATCTTCTTTCTATACCATCTTTGCATAATTTATTTACATGAAAAAATGTTTTAAAACGAAAATTTGTCGTATATTCACATCCAGTTTGTAACACTCATGTGTAGACGCCGGACACTGGTCTTTGACAGTTTCTTCTACTCGGCCTTGCTTTCATACATTTGTTTCGAGGATGGCTTTCTTATGAAGAACCTTGGAAATATTTTCAACTCGCTCCAAACGTGCTTTAATAACACCTTTGTTTGTGTGCATGTGTTCTGAAAGCCACTGAGGTAACAGGCCTTTATTTCTATTTGTTAAATATTGTTCTCAGCGATTAAAATCTTTCACACACCTCCCCGCCAGATTTAGTGACGAACGAAATTGTGAACCTACTTTTCCTGACATGGAAGGACACAGCTGTCACTGTAATGTAATTGCAAAGTGAAGTTGGAGGAAAACACAGTAAAGTAAGAATTGTAGACGCAGTTTGTCGAAAGAATTTTAACATTTGTACCAAATTTGGCCAAACATCACGTTTCATAATTCCGAGGTGTCCTAATTGAGAAAACAGACTAACCAAACACTTGACTGCAACAGAAATTCCGTCACCTACCTGGTGGAGACTTTTCACCCGGGATGAAGCGATGGACACAACCGCACGCTCGATAGTGAGGTTCCTTGGATCCGGTAGAGCTGGGGCTCTTACTTCGGGCACGTCGATCCATTTAATTCAATATTTATTGTCGTAGAAAGCTTTGTCTTCGTGTAGAAAACACCTTGCATCACTCCACACGAACAACCCGTCTCATTACGACCTTCTGGTGATGTACATCTTAGACGCTGTGTTTCCTCTCTGATAACATTCGGAGTTCATTATCAGTGACTTTACTGCGTCTCGTGAAAATTTATTTATAGTGTTGGAAGAAAAATGTTCTCACAACGCAGACTTCCTGCGATGTAACAAAATTTATACCAATGTCATACTAATTTTCAGTCGTAAAACTGTGTGGTATTCCTCGGTATTTGTTGATGCAATTTGAATGCAGCCCGAAGATCCAGGCAGTTTTCTCACGACATCCAAATAGAACACTTTTCAGCAAAGTAGAACAAATGGAAGTGTATATATTTATAAATAAATTGTCTGTGAACTATCTTCCGTTCCCCTGAAATCTTCCTTTCTATTTCTAGAGTAACAAATGATTCCAACTCCACACAGGGCGTTGTCATTCTGCAAGATTTGGAAAGTGTTGACCTGGGATGGCGGGGGCATGAATATCGATCCAGCAGGACCCTATATAGTTCCGTTTTGGCTGCTGTTTTCAGATCGCTTCGTGTCGACCCCATATTCTGAACACAGTTACTTGTATGTACGAGTATCTTAGAAATTCTTCCCTTCATCTGAATGTGGATCGTTATCAGAAGGACATTATTTCGAATCCCGATACGAGATAGTATAAAGTGACACATTGCTTGTATATTAGCTGCATAGATCGTAGCGATGATGAATGGTATTCAAACTACTTTTACAGAGGAACCACAATATTTTCCTTTTGGGTTGTATCATATTGGTTTTACCTATAATTGCCTTGTAGGG